TGCTGGCCCCGCCCCCAGGTCCTGCTGAGAGGGAAACTGAGAATGGGTGAGGTGATGTGCACCTGTAATCTCACCACTTGGGAGGCTGAAAACAGGAGAATCACTGTGAGTCCAATCTATGTAGTAAGACCCTGTACTAAATACATGAAAGTAAGCAAGCAAGCAAGCAATACCATGTAGACCTGAGGGCATTTAATTTGGGTTTGTCATGTTGATTTGAAAACAAACCTAGAAGTAAATTAGTGAGTTTATGAGGCATCTGTGTGTTGGCCATTTAACTTACCAGCATTTAGTTTAAGCTCAGAACTAGACAAAATACATAAATCTACCGATTTGTGTATACATAGAAGAGATGTGATAATATAGAGCTCAGGTCACATTACCTGAGTTAAAACTTTGACTCTAGCATTTGTTACTTCTGACAAGATAGTTAACCAGCTTGTGCTTCAATTTCTTCTTTATGTCAGTGCACTGCATTACTGTATTTTATAGTAGTACTTATATTAATTGAGATTGTTATAAATTAGCAAATAGGTATGACTTTAGCACAGATTTTTAAACAGTGTTGAAATTATATTATACCAGGCATTGGCATACAAGATACCATGTGTACTTTTCCCTTTTTTAGGAATCCTTGCAGTCTCATTGGGAAATAGACAAAACCCAAAGTGATATATAGTTGATACTCCGGCCTTGCCGGCCCTGCCCCTGGGCGTGCTGAGACTGCTATTGAGACTGAGCATGGTGGTGTGTGCCTGTAATCTTAGCTGTTGGGAGGCTGTAAACAGGTGGATTATTATGATTTAGTAGTGAGGCCTTGAATACCCTGTAGACCCTTCCCTAAAAAAATACAAAAAAAGAAGAGGAAGAGGAAGAGGAAACAAGAAACTCTGAAAATTACTTATAAGTACCGAACATCAGGTCAGAAAAATCAACCTAGTTAAATATACTAGAGACAGTTTCCATGGTAAAATAACTTTAGCAATATCAAACACATGATAAATGGCAGACCCAGAATTTAAATTTATCCTTGCTTTAGAGTCCGTGCTTTTATTTCTCAAAGCAGTATTAATTCCTTATCCCTTGGCATCATCCTTTCCAATGTAAAGTCGTAAAATAAAATATGATTGTTGCCCTTTTTGGTTGCCCTGCTGGTCGACCGAAAGTGTTGCTTTAAATTTTTAGTTGTGGTTTTTCTTTGTACATGCTTAGAATGACAACAGTAAAATGTTGATTCTCTTCTATGAGTGGTACGTTGTCTTACTTTCTGTACTGATATCTATAGTTTTCTGAACACTATTAATTACTAGAGCTTTACTATAAAAATAATATAGAGATAGCAATATGGAAGACTAGGTATACCTTTGCAGTATTAATATAATCATCTGTCTTCTATTTTTTTTACATCAGTTATTTTTATTTTAAAGAAAAAAAATAAAAACAATGGTACAAAATCTCAAAAGTGTCTTCTATTTGAGAAGAAAACATTTATAGGTATTCTGCAGAAATAATTATATGAATATAAATAACATTGCTGAGTTACTCTGCTTAGTGTGAACATCTGAACGTATTTTTACAATCACTTTATTATGAGTACCTTGCATGGATTTATTTTTTTTAAGAGTGAGATTTCTTTTATTTATTTATTTATTTATTTATTTGTGTGTGTGTGGCCAGCTCAGCCCACCAGGGGGCGGGGCTGGCTGGCATGTGGTCCTGGGGGATTGAACCATGGTCCCTGTGCTTTGCTAAGCTTGTTCCAAGTAGGTGCTTTAGACCACTGAGCCATCTCACCAGCCCCTTTGCATGGATTTAAAAATAGTAATATAACCTGCCTATTCATTTCCAAATTTGTATTTTGCATACATGTGTGGCCCTTTCTGGAAGGGTAATAAATACATCCCTTTGAGTACCAGCATGTTATCAGCTTTTAAGAATCAAATCTGAAAAAAGAATCAAATCTGATTAAACATTGCTGGTTTGCTCTCTTACTTTGTTTTTCAAAAATGGTATGTGCCCTCCTTTGGGAAACCCATACTTGGGTTGTTCCAAACATTACCACTAATGGGCTGTGTATAGCATTTGGAAAGACTTTGTGTTTCCAGTGTTCCACAATCATTGCTTTTTAATCCATGTACTTTCCATATGGGGCAGGTAGATGCTTTCAAGCCTCCAAGCCCTCTCTGGGGAATTTTGATGCCAGCAAAAGTATTGTGATTGGCACAGACTTCTCTTAATTTCCCAGCGGCCAGATACCTGGACAGGTTTTTCGAAAGGCCCAAGTATACGTCACCTGGGACTGCCTTCTCTTTCCCTCCTGCTGTTTTACCAAGATTCAGTGGCTTTGTGCACCATTAGCGATGATGCTGCACTGACTATATGAGTCTGCCTTAAACCCATGAATGAAGGATGTGTTTTGAAAGATTCTTAGAGCACCCATTAATCTTATACTTTCTGCATGGCACATTCCCACTGTTGACACCTCTGTCGCACCAATAACATGGTACCTTCTATACAGTTTGACTTGTCCAGCTAGGTACTTGATTAATAAATGAGCACTCAGAGTATTGTCTTGCAAGTTTGTAAAATACTAAGGTAGACAATATATAAATATGTGTAGTACTTATGTTGTTAACAATAAGCATCAATCAAAATACAATATTGTGTGCTTATGGTGCAGCAGGCTCTGTGATATATTGGAGATACTGTGTTATCCTTGTAGCAGTATTACCAAGTGAATGGTATCATTTGTTTTCGAAAAAAGAAAGCAAAGGCTAGTAGGTTGGCTACAGTGACAAGAGTTTATAAAAACCAGAGCTAGAATTTAAGCCTTGTTCTGTTGACCCAGAGTTAATTCTTCAGTGACTGTATGACAATATTGCCTGATGTGGAGGGTAACAAATACTTTATTAAAGTGATGGGGCAGGGGCCGGGGCCGGGGCCGGGGACATGGCTCAGTAGAACAAGCACTTCTCAGGCAAGCACAGGGTCTGAGTTCAATCCCCAGTTCCACCAAATATTAAATAAATTTAAAAAAATAAATACAATGATGGGGCAGTAGGTTGCTAAGGGAAAGTTAAAGTAAAACTGCAAAACTGTGCAAAGTAATTTTTAATCAATATCATACTTCATTTGAAGCTTTTTACCTTTCCATGCATTTGTCATAACTTGAAATGAATGAAAAGTATTGTCTTTATTGATAACTTTCCGGAAAAGGGACTTAAGTTTTTTTCTATCTTGTAATTGTGCATAATAAATAACACTTAAAACATTTTTTTTTCTTGTCTTCCTGTGTTTTGGCTTATGATAACTGAAAATTGAGCCCTAGAAAGAATAGAAATGGGCCTTATTTTGTGTTAGTTAATCACTTGAATAATAATTTTGTAAAGAAAGAACCTGTGAAGACCCTGGGGCTGTACCTGTGTTGCTCAGTGTGCACTCACTGTCTCCTTGTAGTGGAGGTAATGAGTTTTCTATTTTAAACATTCAAAGTGCATCTTTTTTAGCTGTTCAATAAAGTTATTCCTTGATGCTGAAATCATTGTACTAAAAATTAGTTTCTCTTTCACAATTTTTTAAAGAAACTTTAGCACTGATGCTAAAAAATACACTACTTTTGCAAAGTATATCGGAATTCATGTGTAAAGTTACCAAGGCAGCCTTTGTGTTGTAGTTTTTCTGTTTATTTAATGGGCATGTGTGGTGAAATACTTGATTCACTTCTTTTTCGTACTGGCAGTCAAACTCAGGACCTTGTGTTTCTTTTGTCAGGCAGGCACTTGTGCTGCTGAGCTATATTCCCAGGCCCTCAATTTTTATACAAATACTTAAGAATTTTTTTTTCCTTTTTCTTTTTGTATTTTAGGGAAAGGTCTACAGGGTGGGTGTTCAGGGTCTCACTACTAGATCAACCTTGTAGTGATCCTCCTGTTTACAGTCTCCCAAGAGCTGGGATTCCAGGCATGCGCCACCACACCCAGTCTCAATTGCCATTGCAGCAGTGGGGCCTGCATGGCAGGCCTGGGGATTGAACCCCTGGCCCCTGCGCCTGCTTGAATAATTTTAATTTTTATATTAAAAAAGAAATATTCCAAACAAAATAATAAAATAATTCTTAAGCTAATTTTAGTATTAAGGATTTTTTCTTGAAATTTAAACTTTTTTCAAAAAAATATTTCGTTGTTACTGTTCTCTTAAAAGAATTAGTAGGGCTTTACTAGAAGATGAAACAGGTAGTGATGAAACAGTCAAATGAATGAAATTGTTACATCCGAATGCATTGTTAATCAGAGGACTATGTACTCTGAATATATTTTTACTGTAAATCATTCACAGAATGATTGCTATGGATCAGTGGGTAATTATGTTTGTACCTTTAAGAAAAATGTGTATTATTAATTGTGCACACAAAGGAAAACATGAATATAATATAATTCTAATGTAAATGTTTGCAATTTACTTTTGCCTTTAGAGTTACTGAGTTATATGTGAGAAAAAATTGTAAGAAGTAGATGGAAAGACTCCTGTAGATTTAATGTTTTCTTTGAAGTTTCTCCATACATACAAATGTTTTTCTTACCATTTATAAGAGTTGTGTGATTATAATTATAATATATATTATAATTATATATAATTAATATTATATATGAATTAAAGAATAATGTATTGTGATTTTTTTGATATCAGGAATTGAACTCAAGACCTTGTACATGCCAGGCCAGCACTGTACTGCTGAGCTATCTCCTTGGCCCAGAATACTGCACTGTTGAAGTAAAGGGAGTAGGTTTATATTTTCCTATAATGTACAATGGTGCCATCAAAATCGTATAAAATATTATAAGGTTATCAGCTACTTTGGAAATTATGTGTTTTAGTATAAGCTATGGAAAATAAATCTTAATCTGCCTAAATAGAGAATGTAAGCATCTTAAGTATTTTAATTTAAAATTTAAAGTGCTAATTCTTGTGTTTTTTTTTTTTTTTTTTTCTTCTAATTTTAGGTTTTAGTATAAAGGCAGTGCCATTCCAGAATGCCATCTTGAATGTAAAAGAACTTGGAGGTATAACATTTAAAATCCTTTCCATATGACTTTCACTTTACTTATTTGGTATTTGTGTATATAATTAAAACATTGTAATTACGTTCTAGGTTACTCATTTTTACTTTTTCTTAATGATGTATTTTCTGGAAATATTTCCGTCTCTTAACATATATTTTAAAAGTTGTTGAAGAGTTCTAACTAATATGAACTGTTTTCTTTTGTATAGGTCAGAGGCTACAATAATGGTAAATGATGTGCTATACTTGCTGATTTTACTTGTTCAAAAAGTTTATTCAGTGACATACATGAAGAGAATTTTAATGTAATTATTGAAAAATAAAGTATGCAAAGCAAAGCATTGTATTTGTATTGCAAGTTTTGTTGTATTTAACCTTTTTGAATGAATTTGTCACAACAATAAATTTTTGCTAGTAGGTTCTTTGCTAATCAAGCACATTTATTGGATAGACGGTATAACAAAGCGTACATCACTTTGTCCCTCACAGTACTCTCTCTCTGGAACTTTTTGCTTAGATATGTCAGTCAGAACCTCAGCACATGTAAGTAGATTAACAAAGAATTCAGTCAATTCAGTGAACCTCCTGCACTCTCCTATGGCACAGCAAAATGATAAACACTCTGGAGTTGAGTATAACATCGATGAGCTTAATGATGTAAAAGAAAGTTTTTCTTCATCTCTTTAATCACTTTGTAATATTGACCTTACCCTACCTTGTTTTGTTTTTTCCTTCTTCATGGTCCTTCTGACATTGACCCACTTTCTGCCATTTTAATGGTGTGGACTACTTTCTTATTTTTCTCCAATAAAGAATGGCTGACCCTTTTAGGTTTCTTTTTCAGAGCACTATGTGTTGGGCAGATTTACTTTTTTTGGTCAATTTTATGACTATCTTTGGCTTTTGTAGAAATTAGCTATTAAAATGTCAAATGTAGCAATGATAGATCTGAACTTTCCTTTAAGATATTTGGTTTTTTTGTCATTCTGACGCCAAAAATCGTACAGCACATGTATTATAAATTTACATAAAATTTACATACAGCACATATATTATAAATTTACATAGAATTTTTGGAATGCTCTGTTTTACTAACTTCATATTTTAATACTGCTTTATTTTTTGATAGTTTCTCCTCAGTGACAATAGTATTATTTTTAGGTATTTTAAGGTCAGAAAATATACTGTAAAAAGTCTATAGAATCAGGGCCGGGCAGATAGCTCAGTGGCATGTGCATCCTAAGTTTGATCCTCAGTACAAAAAAAATGAATAAATAAAAAATAAAAATCTATAGAATCAAGGAGTATTGGAGAATTTTGTTGATTTTAAATATGGTTGGTACTTTGGTACTTAATGCGTATTTTATTATTAGGAGAGGCATTCAGTGTATATTGATCCAGTAGGTATAACAAACTGTTGATTAATGATAATA